TGAAAATTTGTTATTGAATATGTCAATATTGTTGTAATGAAATGCTTCTTCTAAGTATGTGGTTATTAAATAAATAACTGGGGAAAAAGATAAACATTTACCTTAAAAAATACATTCTAAACATAACTATAAGCTGTACCGATGAAATCTCCATAGTATGGTAGTCTAACACTATTGGCATATTGACAAAACCAGTTGACATGCCAAGGTAGATAGGGGAATGTCACAGGGTCTCACCTCAAGATGAACAGCTACAGGCAATCAGTGTATGCTGAGGGAGGGAGATTCAGTTTTCTTCAGGAACTAACTTCCTGAGAGGTTATCTAATCCCAGATGGGTAGCCCTAAACACAGGTATACAGGAGCCCCACTAAATGGAACCAGTGTATTATATGTATACGTATATACATATATATGTATGTGTTTATAAATATATATGTACATGCAGCAGTAATAATCAAAGAAGAGGACAAGAAGCTGAGAGGGAGTGGGGGACATGGGAGAAGTCAGTGGAGGACTGAGAGGGATGGCAAAAATGCCAAGCCAATACTCATGTATGAAATTCTCAAAAATAAAAAAATAAAAAATTTTGCTGGGTGTCGTGGCGCACGCCTTTAGTCCCAGCACTTGGGAGGCAGAGGCAGGCGGATCTCTGTGAGTTCAAGGCCAGCCTGGTCTACTAAAAAAATAAAAATTTTTAAGAAATTGACAAAGCTTCCTATAACCAATGAGTCTGTTAACTAATATATAAGGAAGTAAAACTTTATCTTTATGGCTTTTAAATTCATTGAGACTGTTTTATATTCATTTGAAGTGTTTTATTTATGCCTTTTATTATTATTCCTTTCTATCTTAATATAATATATTCCCTATTTCAAATTAAACAAATGTCTATAAACATACTTGCAAAAATAGGTATTTATAATCACATGGGCAGTACTTACTTTGAATTTGTAAGGTCCTACTTACCTATCCTTTTTAATATAATATTTTGTATTTATCTTTAATAATTT